GGGGTGTTCGTCCTAAATGTCAGACATAAAACCCACTTAAGAAATTATCTATGGTTTGTGGACGCAGAATATATTCTGGTATGGAACCCCAATTATATAGGTGTCAATTTCCTAATGTTCATTGAATTAAAATGAGGAGGTGGGGATGCTATGTATCTAAAAACAAAAATTCAATGAAACATCAAGTATGTATATACAAGTTATGCCTTGGTACCAAAGAATGAAGATAATTACAAATCGACTATTCATCAAACAGGGAATCCTGCATCTGAGAGAGGTGGTTTTATAGATTGTATTTGTGTGCTTGTGTTAGAGAGAGAGAGAGAGAGAGATCCTTAATTTATTGTCATCTTATTGTATTATTCTTGTTAAACATGAACTCAGTATTGAAGTAACATAGAATAGTTACTACTGAACTCTAAGGCACTGCTGGATTTGCTGTCATAATAGACTATAATTAACCAAATGAGATAACTTGTTAACATTATTTAGATACAAAGAGTCACAGCCATTTCTGTACAAGTTGCAGGTTTTATAATATATTTCTACGAAATTTCTTATTTGCTCATTTTTGGCCGCTTTGCAGGGTAAGGACCGGTGTCCTTATCCCATTGGATACAAGACCTCACGAATTCTGAATGGGGTTACCTATAAAATGGAAATTCTTGAAGGTCTTAAAGGTCCATTGTTTACAGTGAGTAGGCATCTTAACCATGTCAAATTACATCCTGCATAGATATTGACTGAATTATTGGTTAATAAAATTGGGATTTCACATCCTCTCTAGATCATTTCTAGTGATGGAAAATCATGCTCTGGACAAACTCCAGATATTGCATTGGAGAGCTTTCAGAAGAAAAGTTGTTCTCGAATCAAGTCGTTGCATGGGAAGAGGTTCTCATGCAAGATAGATGGCGTGGAGGTAGGTCATATGCCTTTTCTTTAATTTTCTTTCGTGTTTAAAATGATTAAAACAGTTAAATTACATTTTTATTATTCTTGTTTGCCTTGTGTTACTAGTTTGAAAATCCCTCTCAGGTTAAGTAATCTATAACACCTTTGGACTAGGCTGACGTTGTATAGTCCAAACTTATACTTCTTATCCTCTGTATAAAATGGCAAAATGAAAATCCTGGAATTGTCAATGTGGTAAAGGATTTGTGACTTATTTGATAAAAAGTGCAAGCAAGCAAATCATTGTAATTACTCACGGAGTATGTAAAATAAAAGTTTGGTGATAGCAGATGCAAATGTATATTGGACTACATCTTTTATTCATTGCTGAACTTTAATTTATCGCAAAGTAGAGAATGAAATATGAGAGTTTATATACTATTAAGCAATATGCAGAGGAAATGCACTTGGAGATATATTAGAAATCTAGAATTTGATACCTGGAGATCTCTTCTATTTCAAGTTTGATCATAATTACTTAGATAAGTACGGAGTAGTTGGCTAGAAATGTCTTAGCTGTGCAATTAAATATAGAAATGGGCTTGATGCTAGCGTTTGGATCTTTGTTTCACACTACATTTTCATCCTTTCGGTTTTTTGTGTCACTTAATATTGCTATGGCCATGGCTACCATTTGCGTAAGCTGAACCCTACAACTGTGGATTTTGTATATGCTATTCTTCTACGCTGGCAAATAAGTAATTAATTTTCAACTTTGGGAGTATTAAACTGACAGCACTTTCCTATTCTGGTCATCTAACATGTTACAAATATCAGTAGATATTTCACGTATTTTGTGTTCAAATCTGTCGAAATAGATCAAACCAAACAAGGCTCAAGCACCACAGTACATCAATCTCTGGAAGAAAGTTCTTCCCCCTCTGTGTGCACGCTCAAGCTCATGTACTTGTATTGATTTCTAGGAGAACATAATGGTTATCTTGTTTCAGATTCTAAAATTTTATTATTAGAGGAAAATATGTAGTAGACGACTTCCCAACAATTAATCCATTATATAAAATAAGAAGCTTGGTCGACTGGGGGAAAAGGTTCTTCTGGAGGCTTGTCCACCAGACACTAATGTTGTGCTACTCATTGATGTATTTATGTTCTCTCTACTGTCTGTGAATATTGTCCTTCCATTTTTTAGGCACTGTTCTTTTCCTTGTTTTGGATTGTGTCATGCTGTTTAGTTTCTATAAAGTTTGTGTCGTAGTACAACTTTGAATATTTGCTAACAACCAACACAGTCAGATTGTAATATATCCAATTATTTCCCCTAACGAAGTACTTAAATTTTGCTTGAGGAATGTATGGATGGTGCATAACTAATATATTATTACCTTTCCTTTCTTTTATGTAATATGCAGTTTTTTGGATTCAAAAATGCATTTGTTCAGAGGTTACTGAGAGAATTGGTAGCAAATGATGGTGGAACTGCAGGACAGAGTTCTTCAACATCTATCTCCCTTACTGAAGCTTCTGATACAGTACATGAAATACAATATACAGAACCAAGAAAGCATCCTGATTTGCTGCCAAACTCAGAAAAGCCACAGGTTACAGGGAAGAGAAGTAGGAAGGGCAAAAATATTAATGTTAAGCCTCTCACTGAGGCAAATTTTGAACAACATCAACCTCAAAATTGTATTCAAAATGCTGAAGCTTCAAATTCTAGACAAAGGGATCAAAGAAATCATGATGGTGACAATCTTTTGACTATTGCTGCTTCAAATAAAGTCTGTGGCATTAGTAAAAGTCCTGAAATTACAACAGGACCTAACTCTGAAGTTGTGGTTGAGAATGAAAAATATCTGTTTTCAGCAGAAAGAGAACTGCGGTCGCATTCTATGGATATTTCTGATCACTTTAAATTAGGAGATCTCCTCCCCCAAGAAACAGAGCTTATTAATTCCGAAAACCATTTGAGCAAAATGGCTGATAACATGCCAAAAGGCAAAGAACTTGTGAGCTTCTAAACCATTCTTATTTTAGATATATTTTTCACGTCTTTTGCATTAACTTTTATTGGTTTCTACTTCTTTTGTATGCCTGTAAGTTAGGACCACAGAATACTTCAGTTTCTGAAAGCATTTGCTCTTTAATATTAATAGCATATCCATTAGATATACATATACTTGTCACGCACATACAGAGAGAGAATAGTACACCTGAAAGATGGAATAAACGTTTCTTTCCTGCTTATGGCAGATTTATGAGTTAAGTTGGTAAATATTAAATCAGTTAAGCTAATTGTTCTTAATGTCTCGCAGCCAAATTGGACAACAATTACTGAGGTTCAAGAGTTCAATAAGTCAATAGACAAAGATGAGTATGGTGTAACACTAGTTCAGCATTACAAGCCAATAGTCAATGCCGATTTTTGTGCACCTGACACATTGGATATTGCAGGAGGTTGTAAAGCTCTTATCATTATCTTTTTGTCCCCCCTCTTTGCACTCTTATGTCATTGCTAGAGCTTCAACATCCAATTGCATTCCACCTCCCTGACAGATTTATAGGTAAATGATAGTTATTGCCTTTTGCAGACAGTTTTTCTTACTCTGATCCGAACGAACGCGTGAAAGTCACTTGCAATGCCAGAGATGACACAATTGCCACGGATGTAGCCATTTCTGAGGTTTTGGTAACTGATTCACTTCCGGAAGATGAAACAGGAACTTCAAATGCAAGCTCTGAAAAGAGTGATATTGATTCTGTTAGTCAAGAAATAGCAAAGTCAATGATGACTGTTCTTCTCCCCCAAGCACTTCCTTTGCTGAAGACATTCTCAAGAAAGGAAAAGAAGAGTATGATACCTTCAGAAATGCCTCTCTATACGCAGCAGGAAAATAATACATCTGTTGGTTTTGGTAATGCATCAATTGGTAATTCTAACTCTCTGACTAATATAACACGCCTCTTAATATCCTTATTCTCTGGCACAGTTGTTTCACTGCATCACCATGTCCACTTCAGAATTGCTGTAAAAACATTTCCTCTAATTGAATTCAGACTTTTCTTGCAAATTTTCAGTCAAAGAGCATATCGAGAACTCAGATTTGGAAAGAGAAAAGGAAGGGGGGAGTATTACCTGTACAGTCAATGATTCAATTGTCTCAACTTCTGGAATCACAGAATCTGTAGTTCCTGATAGTTTTGATAACGATGAAATTAGATGTACTTCCACCAATCAGCATAATTTGTTTCCGGACACTGCAAACGGTTGTGAAGCTTCATTTCAGTTAAACAATTATGGGAATCAGACTCTGAATCTGCCAGGCTGTGTTAATGCAGAGGAAGACTCACCAGTTCGGCCTATTGTAGTGAGAGATCACGAAATAAATATGCATTCTCAATTGCAGATGGCTGTAAATGAGGAGCCTCAAGAAGGTGAGATTCCATATTTAAATCTGCAATAGCTTTATTAGGAGCCTGTTCAAAGAAATCTGCATAGACATTAATGAAAATTAAACTTGTTAGGATGTTGAAATATATGCTTCCTGATTTGAATATATTTTCTTTTTTGATTGTCAATATATTGTCTTGTGTAGATTTTATTCTTTTAGTTGAGATATAGGATCAATCTGCTGACTCAGCATGTTACAGAGTATGTTGGGTTTTCTGTTTGAAACAAAATTTGGACGTAAAATTTTTAAATTTCTATACTGCATTTTAAGTATTCAAGATTAAAGTTATATAGCGTGAAGAAGGATTAACATAAATAATGTGGATTTTGAAGAAATTGTAAGATGTCAAGTATGCTGCCATACGAATGAGGTGATTGCCATAATAATTTTTCATATTCCATATGAACAGACATTAGTACAACTGGTGCTAACTTAATGAGCAAAACAAATAGTTGTATTCGACCTCCAGCAGAGGAAATCAATGTCACTTCCAAGCAAGACTGGGTTGGCTGTAAGTCCACGATCGAAGTACCTACCTCTGCTGCACCACAAATGAGATGTGCCCCTTTCACTGAACATATATTACATAGAGACTTCAAAAATGTTTGTTCTACGGAGGTAAGAAAAACATAAATACTTTGCTTGCTTCATTCTTCTTCATAGGAAAACTTTCTAACCAATGTACAACTGAAAAATTATCATTAAGAACCTGGCGGTGATTTTAGTTTACTTTAACATGTCTACAGAAATTGGATGCTAGTTTTGCCAAAAAGTTTTACAGTGCAAATTCTGCTAACTTTGATAATTCATTTTCATATCAGCAAATCCTGATTACAAGTTGTTGCAATGTCGTTACTGAAAACAAGGAAATGAAAGATGATCCGAGGTCAAATTTTCAGGGTGACTTGAATTTAAATGACAAGCCACAGGGTCTTCTCAAACGTGTAGCATGCTATGACCACCCTATGCCAATTTCAATGGTGCTGTTGAATGAAAAAGAGAATGAAATATACATATGTGTTATATGTGGCTTGCTGGAGCATACGGAGAGTACCCTCTTTGTTTACAAGACACTAAAGAATGCAGAAAAAATGGGGTTCCCTTCATTTGTTGGTCACTCATCAATAGAATTGCCCTCTTACAAAGATGCCTTTGGTAGAGACGTAAGATAAACATTGCATTGATAGACTGCTGCATTAACTAGGGTTGCTTATTGCGCATATGTAACAACAGCTTTCTTCCTTTCTTTCTTTTCATTTTCCTTTTTTTGCAGATTGGTATAGACAGTTCTAGATTACAGTTCTCTCCAGATGCACAATCTCTTGTTTTATTAAACAGTATAAAAACTCCTTGCTGCAGGTTTTTGTTTTTTTTCTTGTTCAAGCTTATGAAAAGTTCTATACCTGAAACTTATGTAATTGTTGATGCATTGATTTTGTATTTATATCCCAGGGAGGGTAAATTGCAATGTTCTTGTCCACGCTGTACTTCTGAATTCTCCGAGAAGAATGCAGTAAAAATTGTGCAAGTACAAACTGGTTATGTTACAATTGAGACTATACTGAGGACAACACAAGGTGTATGTTGTTTATTAGTTTGTGAACCTAGTTTTCTTCTTGCTGCTGAAGAGGGTGGAAAGCTGAACCTGTGGGTCATGAACGCTAGATGGAGGTGATTTCATGGTGTCCAAGTTTTTATTTTGTTTTTGGTTTGATGAAGATTTATTTTTCTTAATGTGACCTAAATCTAACTAATCATTCCTATATTCTATTAGATACTGCTAGTACCACATTTTAATAAAGAGTCATGCTACTCGTACAAAATTGGTTGACAAAGTTGGTTTAGAAAACAATATCTACACCAATCATTTCAAAAATACTTTTTAAATCATTTGAAATCAAAAGCCGAGATTCTGCCAACACTTGCTTTGTCAACCATTTTTGTAAATTTGTTTTTTACAACTACATTATTTGTTTAATAACATGTGCACATCAGTTCAAATCACACTGCAACATTAGTTCTGACACGCTGTCGTTTCAGTTTCGTTTGTTTGATGCAAAATTTTGTCTCATTGATACCCAACAGGACCCATCAACTTCTCTTTCTTATCAAGTCTGGTGTTACTTAGTATAATTTCTTGAATCTCAACTTGCAGTGCCCAGAAAGAGGAACGCAACTTACCGACACTTGACTGTATGCTTCCTTGTCTTGCGGAATTGAAGAGAATTCCAAAGTCAACTATTTTGGTTGTTGGTCACAATGGTTTTGGGGATTTTGGTTTGTGGTAAGTTGCTTTTCCATCACAAGATTTGGATGACTCCTGCTTTCTCTAACTCAACAAAAAGTTTAAAAGATCTACATATCTGCCAGTAGATGAAAGTTTTGGGGCGATTTTTTTTTTTTTTTTTTTTTTTTTTTTTTTTTTGACTCTTCTACATCGCTAATCACCATAATGTTGCATTTTCCTTAAGTTATATAAAGATATTCTTGAAATATCATCAGACAAGGATAACTAATTTTTGCAGGTAGGGTGGTTTCATCTGTGTTCGAACTTTTCTGTAGTAACTGTAAATCATGCATTTAATAAATTATAAATAAAAAAATTGGCATACATATCTTACTATATGTAAAAATTTAAGTTCGCCATTTTTGCATCGTTGGTTTTTAAAAGGAGTACCAGATCAGATAAGCTTGATGTCATTAGATACTGTTCTGGTGCCTTGTTGTGCTGCGAATGTGATTAGCCGTCGCTCTTTTCCACTTAAAACTTAAGCATATAACTATCAGTCCGACAGAAATCTTTGGGATTTGTTATTTGATCTTAAAATTATTTAATTGCAGAGCTTTGGAAGGAATTTATTTTCTGCGTTTACTAATTTGAAGGATTTCCAGAATTATGATTTCCTCCCTGCCACTTCAACTTTTCAATCTCACATTTCATCAACATTTATCAAAATCTACTAAAAATGTAATTTTCTCCAAACCAAACAGGGTTGAAATAGTAAGACTCTTTTCTTCTTTTTTGGTACAAAGACATATCATGCCAAAAAGGAAGACATGGTCTTGATTTAGTTCAAAACTGCGCATGGCTTTTGCTGTTTATTTGCTACGTTTATCCTCTTATAAGATACTGCATGTCTGCCACATTTTTATACTATTAGTTATTCCTTGGACAATGGCTTCTTTTTGTATTTTCAACCATGACATCGATATACCCCAAGATTCTCTCTCTCTCTCTCGCTCCTCACTAAAAGATTACAATATATGTCTGCCTTTTCTCTTTCAAATTAGAAATAAAACAAATATAAAGAGATGAGATTACTAGCTGTGCACTTGAGCCTTTTTCTTTTGCAATTTTTCCAATATTCCTGTAGGATACAGTTTCTCATTTTGTGCAGGGATATTGATAAACGAATCCTGGTTTCAAAGTTTTCTGCCCCCGGCACTTCTGTTTTTCACTGTGTTCCAGTTGGCATGTTTAGATGGCAAAGTAAAGGAAAGCATAACAGTAAGGATCTCACTGACGAAATCATGAATGCAACAAAAATGTGGTTTTCAGGAATGGGTGAAAACCAAATTCTTCCAGTGCAGAATAAAGATATGGCTGTCTGGCTTCTAATCTCTACTCCCTCAGATACAGATTCTCAATGTTGTCAATCAAGTAGCGGGGGAGAAGCAAACCTAGCTAGATGTTGGAGGCTGGCTTTATTGGCGAAGAACATGGTGATCATGGGAAGAACTTTGGACTCGGGGTATTTTCAAATCTTTTTATAAGTGGCTATTGAAGCCTAATGGCAACCTCGAATGAGCGTTTTTTTTTTTTTTTTCCCTCCCTCCCAAAACCTAGTTTTAAGTAGTTCGTGTCTTTCTTAAGATGCAGTGAAAATTTTGTTTACTTAGCTATAGCTACTTTAATAACTTTCTCCTCTCAGGGTTGCTGCAGTTGCAACTGTTCATGGAATTTTTGGTAGATGTGATGGACTGGTATACACATGGGATTTATCTACAGGAAACATGCTTGAAAACTTGCATCACTTCAAAGGTATCCTTTCTGTTGCGGGAAATGGGAATTCGTTGAATTTGCTCTTTTACATGAGAAATGTGTTTATTTTCTGAAATTCAAATCATTACGAGAAGTTCTGCGATGATGGCTTTATTTATTATACTTCGACATAAAAACAATGTTCTTCCAATCCATTCAACAAGCAAATTGTGCAAATAACTCCTTTCCTCATAGATCATTCTTCTCTAATATTTTACTTATTGTAATGTTACTTGAATACTATAAATGTTAGATAAGCTGTCTCTACTTCTCCTTAGCATTCTTACTAGAGTCGATCTATACTCATCATGCAACCCAGAACCACCCGGCAATTTTAGGTTCAATTAAAGATAAATTATAACTTATAGAGCCATCTGTTGTTGAACTGGAAAATAGCCTTTTTCCTTGCTTTCCTAAATCAAATGAATCTCTATTTGTTAACTTAATGTTTTGAGAGTGAGATAGAGGTTTGTGAAGTAGAGAATTCTCTTTGCACCGTGAACTTTTCTGAAGATCACAATGCTCTTCAGACTCTTTGAAGGTTTCTTTACACTTTACAGTGACACTATTAAGCAATTTTGAACACACCATGATGACTTATTTGCTGTTCCAATAGCTACCCATGTTTTGCGATCATATCTATTGCAAAAGCACTCGTGTTAGTAAACTCTTGCAAACATCCACAGACTGTGCTCCCCCTCCTTGCCTTGTGTTCACTTGCTATTTTTAGTTTTGTCATTGACTGCGGTTTACAGGTTGCCTATGCTTATAATTAACATCCCAATTTTCCTTTTCAGGTACCGGAGTGTCTTGTGTTTGCACAGGCAATACAGATTCTGGTGCTTTAGCTATAGCTAGTGGATGTCAATTGCTGGTTTATGTGCAATCTTGAAGTGATTCTTCAAAAATTCCACTAAGACAGGTTTCTATGTAGAAAACTGTAAAAGCCTTTTAAGGCCTTTAAGACTGTATCTGATAATCGATTTGATGTTGGGTGTCTCATTGGTTAAGACTGTTGAGAAATTTTTTGTAGGCTACTTCTGCTGATGGAAAGTTGCCTTTAGGGCAGTCTCCAGATATTGTACGGAATAAGCTATCAATCGGTCAACCATCTCCACGAAACTCCTTTTTCTTAATTTTTTTTGTGGGGGGCAGGAAAAAAATAAAATAAAATTTCTCGAAAGAGATGAAGGATTCAAATCTTCATCTTGTAATTTAGCTTGAATGCTAAAAAAAATGTAGACAGAAATCGTCGATATTCCTCCAGTCAGAGTGGATCCTGAACATGGGCTAAAAAGAATTTAGCATTTAGTAGTAAATTTTTCATGCAAACTATACAATTAGAACAACAATTTTATACGGAAATTTGGGATGTTCCAAGCCCCCCCCCCCCCCCCCCCCCCCCCTTTTTTTTTTTCCAAGAAAATGGATTACAATGAAAAGTCTGATTTTAGTCCAGTTAAAACTAAGATTTAGTTCATTGCTATGGCTTATGTCAAAAATAGAGCCTCTATTTCACATTTTAAACATGCATTCTCAAAGTCTAGCTCACTTTTTTGTCTTAGTTATACATTTACATGTTTCATCGCAAAAGTCGTTGCGAATTAAGTACGAGAATGGAAAATACGGTATAGGCTTCACTGAGTTGAGAAGAAGAAATAAACTCAACCAGAATCAAATTAATAAGTAATGTTACAACATTTCAAAAGGAGAATCCGCAACATTATAATAGTTGACAAAATCATGAAAGTCGACAAGCTAAATAAACAATCAAAGCATCCAATACTATCCAAACTCATATGTAGACCACGAAAAAAAGGTGGAACACATAGCATCAAAATTGAATCCATTTGCAGCCCCGTTGGCAGAATTAGCAGAGTCCTCGCCAGAGGGGTTGAGCTCATCCCAAGCTTCAATCCAAGTGACCATGGCATCTGCTAGTTTAGTGAAGTAGGGATCCACCTGTGAAAGTTTGCCCTTCACTTGTTTGGCTAGTTCAATGTACCAATGCTGCACAGTCGTGCACTCTTTCGGAAGGTTTATCGACTGGAAAAATGGAATGATATCTTCCTACCAGAATATACCTCTGTACTCCTTTTTCAGATTAACAAAAGGGTTGCTAGCTTTGCTGTGCCATATGTAAGGTAGACCAGTCTTGACACCAAGACCTAAATGGTCACATATAACCTGCAAATTTGACGACCAATTAGTTCTCGAGCATTCTTATGAAAGAAAACAATCGAGTAATCTTAAATATTGTGACAATAAACGAAACTATTTGATACCAAATATATTGGCGGAAGGCTTAGTTTGTTGTTGGTTGAAAAGTGATTGCTCTCAGTCAAGGGCGGAGTCAGGAAATATTTTCAATGCGAGCATAATTTAACCCAGGGAAGGACCGACATGGGGTCATGTGAGGTCAAATGACTCCACAAAATTTTGCCCCTTTTTTTTTTTTTTTTTAAACAATCTATTTTGATGCACTCGTCGAGATACCAAATGAAATCAAAAAATTGCAATCTTAATACCATTTCGAAGTGCTCATGGCCTAGTTTTTCAGTCATTAAAAAAAAAAAAGGTTGAACCCCAACCTTGAGGGTCCTCCACCGCTCCTACCCTGGAGTATCGTGAGGGAGGTAAATCGCAGGTTATGCCTCTAAGGTATAGGGTGGAAGGCTGCTTGTACACTTGCATTTATTCAAGAGCCAAATACATATTTCAGGATTTGAACCCTTGACGCAACAGTCTCAAGTAAAGCTGGATTTCTCCACCCTCCCCTTTTACCACTTGGAGATGTGTCCTGAGGGCGAGTTTTTCACTCATTAATGGCATGCGAAGTGGTCAACTATAGCAAAAGTTATGACATGTTAAAGTAGGGCGTTTGAAACTAGTATTTTGAAAATTTCGATAATATCCTAACTTTAAAAATTCGTTTGCGATCATGTGCTATCTGAATCCATAAATCGTCTATGCCATGTAAAAGTTTGTTTCGAAAACTACATCATTTTCATATCGAATAGTCCAAACGGATATCGAAAATAGTTAAATATGTATCAAACGTACGCCTCAAAAAAAACGTCTAACTCATTTTTTTTTAAAAAAATTCAATCAATTATTATTTTTGCACGATAAATTTTTCAATATAATTTATATCGTTTCATTCGGAAGTCTTACATGAAATATGACGTAAATTTTTTAGGATCATTACGGATTAAATGCAATTTGAATTATTTTCGAATTATATTTACTTTAAATTTGAATTTCATTTATTTCCTGAACTAAACTTGAATTTTATTTCAATTCATTTAAATTCTATATTTTATTTAATTTACTCAATGTTAGCTCAGCATTTGCCAATGAAATGATAAACAAAACTTTATAAGTAGCAAAATTCATTTAATAATATTAATAATGATGTAATTATACGACGTTTTCAAATTGTCAAAATACATATAAACTTATTTTCATTGATATTATATTGTTTATTAAAAAAATTATTTTTAAAATTTTGACCCCACAATATTAAAGGTCTGGGTCCGCCCCTGATTTAACCCATGTCGAACATTGTGTTTTGGTCATGAATTTAATGATGATAAAATTATAAAACAAAATCATGAGTTTGGGCCTAAAAATAAAACTCATGTGAATTAAAATATGTTTTTATTCCACCTCCCCTGTTGATTAAAAAATAAAAATAAAAATTAAAAATTAAAAAAATAAATAAATTGTTTGGGCCTAAAATTGCAGTGCGCCGCTGCTCTCAGTCATCATAGAATCACAAGACAAAATGCATTTAAATGTACCTTGGTGCATGCTTACCATTTTTGTTTCATGGGTCCATAATTGAAAGAAATGCGTGCCTGGTATTCCTCTCACGAGGCTTGACAAGCTGAGTAGGTGCATCATAATCTGGGATGTTGAGCCATAGGCCATGAGAAACAGCAGTCAGAACATCTTCACGAAGACTGAAAGGGTAGCCACGAACAAAATCTGCACCTTCTCTATATGGATCGTAAAGTGTATTGATGAAATGTGGAGTTGAAGGACTCGAGATTCTTTATGTGCTGCTCAAGAGCATTGATATCTTTGCCTGCTGGGTCTTTGGCAACCTACACATTGGCGTGGAAACGTTCGGGATTATATCGAAGCACGGCATAATATTAGCTATATTACAATAGTCAAAGATCTATCGATCTTTTTCTAATTCTCCCGTTTAAGAACATATGTATGTCATCGTGAAAGAAGTATAGAAGATACTCATAATTTACAACGGAGGTCTTTTTACCACAAAAATCTAAAGGCTAGAGCTTGATTTTCAGTGCACAAAACACAAGTTGTTAAATGACAAGGTTGAGTCGAAACACTGGACAGAAAGCATTCACTAAAAGGCGGAGAATATAATGATATAAATCACATTTTTAATTTGAAAATTTAAATTATGCAGCAATCTACAATATAGAATTGCAGCAAAATTGTTAAAGTGGAATCATCATTGTCAAAAACATAAAAAAGAATAGCCAAAAATCCAAACAGGATTGAAAGTTACAAAACTCAGAAAGCAAAACACTTGAGAACAAATGTGCACAAATAAAAGACTCCAAATTAGCCCCTCATGGGGTGGCCAAATTGGTGGAGTAGGTAAGTGTGAAAGCCTTTGGTTACAAGTTCGATTTTTCCGACCAATACCTTCTCGGTCGAGGGTTTGCCCAATGCGTACCCGAAGGGTAGCGGCTATGGATTTCCCCGTCGTAAAAAAAAAAAAAAAAAAAAAAAAAAAAAAAAAAAAAAAAAAAAAAAAAAAAAAAAAAAAAAAAAAAAAAAAAAAAAAAAAAAAAAAAAAAAAAAAAAAAAAAAAAAATTATTATACACATAAAAAAACAATAATCAACCATGCTATATGTACACTCTCATTTAATCCTTCCTTTACACTCTTCCACGTGTAATATCTACACTCTTGGTTTTAAACTCACCCGTCACATCACTACACAGATTTCCTCTACATAGGGAGGAATGTCATCCAAGTGGTAAGGGAGGATGTACATGCATTATTCAAACCCTAAATACACAACTGAAAAGTGGCAGATCCAATTTACATAAAAATCAAGAAAACTCCAACTCCGAAGAAATGGAAATAAAACAGAAAAGGGTCTACTTACAAAGCAGTCATCATCAATGGTATAGATGTACTTCTTCTTGGAAACCATGCAGCCAAAGCACCTGCATGCAGAGTCCTTAAAGTAGATGCAAGAAGCCTTTGGTCCCAAAATTCTGTTGATGTCATTGCGGTTGTAGAGTTCATAGTCAAATCCCTTAGGCACTTTAAAGGTCTTGGAGGGGTCACCATCTTGGACTATGATAAGATGATATGGCTCGAAAAATGGCCTCCACATTTCCAAGAAATCAAGGTTTCTTATTGTGGGTATCACTATATCTAATTCATCTTTCAGCATCGGTGTTGGTCTCACCGTTGCTCCAGCCATTGTTACTCCCTGTCGGTGTGTTACTCTGAGAGTGAATTCCAGAGGCTAGGATAGGGGGGGTTGAAGTTTAGCTTAGGAACGAGAATTGGGGAAGTGGTCGATTTTATACAGGGGAACTAGGAATTTTGTCTTATTGAGAATTTTTCTTGGTCCGTTATAGTTTATAAATAATAATTTGATTTCCGCCGGACTAAATTAGGCACTCGTTTGGTAGCAATTTTTCACCCGAAAAATCAATTTTTTGATCGTTATTTCATTATTTCAACCGTCGTTTTTGACTTTTTCACTCACAAGTGAAATCTACTATATCCTTTAACGGTCAAAAAATCAATTCTCATAATCATTACCGAACAAGCCACAGGAATTTCTATGCAAACCCTCAAAACTGAGTTATTGAGCCTCAATATCACCGTGCAGTGTAGCTTCAAAAACTGATAAAAATTTAAATCAAAATTAATAATTAATTTTAACCACTTATAATTTTTATAAGATTAACAACTTTTGAATGACACAATTAATCAACATTTATCAAAATTTACTATTTATATCAAACATAAGATATTTAATGTAAAATTAGATTCACACATGATAGAAA